GGAGGGCCTCCCCGTGCCTGCTTGAACCAATAGCCGGAGCGCCAGAGTGGGCCAGCTCGTACCGGGCTCTTGCTGCCCCATAACCTTGGGTGTAACCTAAGAGCAGCAGCCTGGGGAGGTGTAAGCAAGGGAAGGCTGGACCTGGCTGGACGGCCAGGGAGCTGGGCTTGCCGGGCAGTCACAGCCAGCTGCTGGGCTCGTTTCAGGGGTGCAGAGTGGCCATGGGCTTGCTGAGCCACCCTTTCTCGCCAGCTCGATCTCAGGTGGTGGTTGTGGCATGTAGGGACTGCTGGTGGCTTTCCCATCTCTGGCAGATCTGGTGCAGATAGGTGGCAGTCCAGATGTCACTGTCACCTCTCCAGCAATGTCCCCACCTGGTTTGGCTGCAGAAGAAAGGGCAGAGCAGCAAACTCTGGCTACCGGGGGGAGAAGAGGCGTGAGACTGAATTATTTGGTGGTGCAACTTCTCCAGAGCCAGCAGGGTTGGGAAGAGGATTGGCTCGAGCCTGTTTGGCTGAGAGCAAAGCCAGGGAGCACATTTCTCCTGAGTCAGCTCTCCAGCACTCCAACTTGGGAAGGAGATAAACTGGTTGGGATGCCGCATCGGTGGTGTGAGGTTAGGAGGAGGCGGGGAATGGGGGGAAATCTTCTTTTTAGCTTAGGGTGATCTGCGTGAAGCTCTGTTTGTCCTCATTTTTGGTAGCTGTGGCTGAGGCTGGGCTGAGGGAGCAGCTGGAGGGAGCAGAAAGAGCTGGGTAAGAGAGGAGCCCCGAGCATCTTGGAGAGGGTCAAGGCTCTGAGAGAATTAAGCGCTGTTTGTGACTCTGATTTCATCTTTACCCTAAGGCACATTGTTTAAAGACAACATGTTTTCACAGCTGTTAAATTGCCTCCTGTATGTTTGCAGTGAGGGCTGTTTCACAGAGAGCTACTCGTGTCTTTAATAAATGATCGGTGGTGAAGTTACCAGAGGGACGTAGCTCTGGGGCATGGAGGGCCAGGGATTGGACAAGGTGTGTTCTTTGTGGTTCTTGGTGGCTTTACCTCTGTCTTTGGGGCAAGTTGTGGTGATGGTGGAGGAGCACTCCCTTCTGTCCCCTTTCCTTGTCCCTGCCTCCCCCTCTCTCATTAAATACCTCCAAGGCACCTTGTAGAAACCTCCCTGCTGCATATTTCCTTTCTTTTTTTTTTTTTTAAACCTCTTTCCATATCTCTGGCTTCCTCTCACAGGAATGACTGCCTGCTGCTGAGAGCTAAATCCAGTCCTCCTTTGCCACTGGGTCCTTCACACCCATGGGCTTCCTAAAAGCAATGCCAGGCTATTCCCACTGCTGTTCTGTCACTGGGGACTTGCTTTCCACCCCCTGGCATGAAAAGGCCTTTTGTGGGGTGCTCTCAGACACTAACCTTTTTTTTTTTCTTTTCTCTCCAGCCGGATCTCCTCAATTTCAAGAAGGGATGGATGTCCATCCTGGACGAGCCAGGAGAGGTAAGCCTGAGGTGGGGACTCTGACTCTTCCCCAATTCCCTGATGAACAGCCAATTTCTTTACCCTGAGGCTGCTACCACTGGGAAAGACAGCGGGAAGCCTTTGGCAGAGGTGCCTCGTTTTGTGTGCAGGCACAGAAGTTCACCCAGCGCCCCTCTCCCAGCTGAGGGGCGCGAGGGGGAGCTGAAAGGGACGTGGAGGAGGGGGAAGAGAAGGCCAAGAGGTTACAGCACAGCACGTCCCTCCCTGTTCCTACGCTTCCCCTGGTAACTGCCTATCCATTTCCCTCCTGTCTTTTCCCTTCCCTCCCCCTGCCCGATCCGCCTGCAGTGGAAGAAACATTGGTTCGTGCTGACTGACTCGAGCCTGAGGTATTACCGGGACTCGAACGCAGAGGAGGTAAGCATGGCCAGCCTTTCTCCAGCCCTCTCTTCCTTCCTGGCTGGCAGGGAGAGGGGCACAGCCCTGGTATGCCCAGCATGCTCCCAGGAGTGGCAGCATCCTCTCCTGAAGGGCACCAGAGATGCCAAGCTGCTCTTTGCCAGGAAGTGATGAAGATGTTGGGTGTCTGAAGGCAGGCCCGTGAAGCTTGGGTGGGGCCGTCAGTGGTGGGAGGTGAGGAGAAGGTCTGGGTATCTCTAATGCTCTCCATGCATGCTGCTGGCTGCCTCTCGGGTTAAAAGAGGCCATGCTGTGCCAGGTTGCTGAGACTGGGTCCCAGGGAGCTGTAGGGTGAAGAAAGGTGATGGGGGCTTTTTCAGAGCTCGGTTTGTTTGCATCAGTGTCCTAGCGGGTAGCTGTGCTTGCAGGCCGATGACCTCGACGGAGAGATTGACCTCCGCTTCTGCACAGATGTGACGGAGTTTGCCGTGCAGCGGAACTATGGCTTCCAGATACACGTGAGTGTCTGACACTGCAGTGCTCAGGGACACAAGAGCTGCCTGCCTGCAAAGGAAGGAGGAAGAGGAGGCTTTGTAGGGCTGGCCGAAGGCTGTGCTGGAGGTGGCCCAGGAGCCAAGCTAAACGCCAGGAGTGTTTACTTGACCCATTGGCCAAGGCAGCTTCTCTAGAGCCATGGGGAGGGAGTGGTGAGTGCTGCAGATCGCAGTGTAGCTGGGCTGACCGTGCTCTGAGTAACAGCCTGTACCCTGGATCTGGCCTCAGTACAATCCTGTCCTTGGCTTCTTGGCGTAGCAGCAGGAGGTGGCTGCTAAGGCAGCACAAAAAGTGATATTTCTGCAGGCATTTCATTTTCTGGGTTTCCCTGTGGCCTGCTGCTGTACTTCAGTGCTGCTGCCCAGCTCCCAGCACCTGGATGGCTGGATTGCACTGGCTCACATTTAGCCAGCAAAGTTTATTTTGCCTTTACTTGGAAATGGTGTCATGGAGGATGTGTAACCAAGTTCCTCATAAATAGTGTGTCTTCACTCCCACCCCTCTACCTGACCCCAAGAGTCTCTGAGATAGCAAGTGGCCTCTGTAACACTGTCCACCACCCATGCAAGTGGGTGCCCGTGGGTGCCCTTGGGAAGTGAGTGGGAGCTGCCTGCACCTCTGCCAGGTGCTGACAGAGCCTCTATCGCCTCCCCATTGCAGACGAAGGATGCTGTCTTCACCCTGTCAGCGATGACCTCGGGCATCCGGCGCAACTGGATCGAGGCCCTGAGGAAGAATGTGCGTCCAGTCAGTGCTCCGGATGTCACCAAGTAAGATGTCACCCCTTCTTGCTGCCCCTTTTCCCTAGCAGGTAGGGACTAGGGAGATCCCTCTGGAAGCCCAGCTGGATCATCTCTGCCTGCCCAGTGGTCCCCCTGCCCTCTGCTCTTCCTGAACATGGCCTGGAGACACCAGCCGATGGCAGGAGTTGAGAGCCTGATTGCAGCTGCTTTTTGACTCACCACATTAGCCAGTTTAGCGCAGTTTCACTGCTGGTGTAGCCAGAACTGGGGGTGAATCCTCCCTGCTCCATGGGGGAGCCTGTTTCCCCAAGGAATGGGATGGCACAGACCCAGCTCTGTGCTCAGTGTGGGGTTTTGCAGGGCTGAGCCTTGGGCATTTAGCAGTGCCTCTCCTGGTGTCCTTTTCTGCTCAGTGCTTCTCCTTCACCAGCCACCGCTCTGCTTCCAGGCTCTCTGACTGCGATAAGGAGAACTCCTTCCGTAACTGTGTCCCCCAGAAGGGCTCGCTTCGGACAGAGGAGCAGCAGCGGCTGGGCTCCAGCTCCGAGGGGAACACGAAGGGCAGTCGCTGGAAGGCAGACGGGCAGCGCCATGCCTTTGACTACGTGGAGCTGTCCCCTTTGCCGCAGGACCCTGGGAACCAGGGGTCCCAGCAGAGAACGAGAGGGAGCTCGAGGATCTCCGACCGAACTCCCAAGCATGAGGAGCTGGAGCGCGATCTGGCTGTCCGTTCAGAGGAGAGGCGGAAATGGTTCGAGACTCCTGATGGCAGGGTCCCAAATAGCGATGGCCTGGCGGGGGACTCTTCCTGCAAGACAGGGGAGCAGGACCTTCCCGCTCCCCCACTCTCAGAGGACCAGCGGATTCGGCTGAATGAGGAGATAGAGAAGAAGTGGCTGGGGGGAGAAAGCCCGGCCTTG